TATATATATATATATAAACTCCCCAAACTGTTTGGTTTCACTGTCTCTGCATGCCTGGTTCCTCCGGTTTGTATCCCAGTAAATAATTCTGGTCGTAAAGAACCGGGTGATTTGCTAGCGTAATTTCTCGTTCGGAATATGAGGAAATGAACTGCGGTCTGGCTCTCCCAGCTTGCACGCCGTTTGATTGGCTACTATGGCTAGCGCTTGTACTGTCAGATTTGCATAAACGGGATTTGATTGGCTGACGCTTCCAGCTCAGCTTCAAAAGTTGAACATTGCTCAACTTTTGAATCCTGAAAACCCTGTAAATCCTGTAAATCTTCGCTTCGCTTCCCCACAATGCAGTTAGGCGAAAAGCGAGGCAAAGTGACGTCACTCCCATTCAAAGTCAACGGGCATTGAAGCGTTGGAAGATTTTTTTTAAAGCTGCTGTGTGGACGTACCGTAAGGCTGAGGTTTAGAGCTCAGACACTGACTGAATTCTGGTTTGGTGAGGAGCATCCACTCATAGGGCAGAGGGCTGTGGGCATCCTTCTCCCCTTCGCTACATCCTATCTCTGTGAGATTGGCTTTTCAGCTGTTGCTTCTCTGAAAACGAAGTACAGATCAAAGCTCAACATTGAGCATGACTTGAGAGTGGCAGTATCAAGCCTGCAACCACATTTAAAAAAAAATTGCAGCGCAAAACAGGCTCATTGCAGCCACTAATGCTGTGATAAGACACACTTGTTTGCCAAATATCAGTTTTTCTTTTCTTTTCATTTTTTTGCTCAGATTGCAAAGTGGCAAACTATTACGGCCCGTCCACACACAGGCATGAAAAAAATCTTGATGCTGGGCGTGTCTGAAGCTTGGCTATTTTTTGCGAGCAACGCGACCAACAACCAATCACATGAATCTCCCGCCCCCGACATACAAAGCAATAGCAATGTTAAAACGAAGTAAACTGGATATAAACTCCCCAAACAGGCGAAAACCTACCAGTTTCACCCACTGTCTCTGCCACCCCCCTCCATGCCTGGTTCCTCCGGTTTGTATCCCGGTAAATAATTCTGGTCGTAAAGAACCGGGTGATTTGCTACCATAATTTCTCGTTTGGAATAGGAGGAAATGAACTGCGGTCTGGCTCTCCCAGCTTGCACGCGGTTTGATTGGCTAGCGCTTGCACTGGCGGGATTTGCATAAACGGGATTTGATTGGCTGATGCCAAGGATCGNCAATAAAATGGTAGGCCAAGCTTAAAATTGTCAAATGTATCGTTCTATAACAGGGGTCTCCAACCTTTTTTAGGATGAGAGCTTTTATTTTTTGAAAGTAGCTCTCATCCTAAAAAAGGTTGGAGACCCCTGTTATAGAACGATACATTTGACAATTTTAAGCTTGGCCTACCATTTTATTGGAGCGATGAGGAACAGGTGGGGCTTGAAAAGGCCCACCTGTTCAAAGTGGGGAATGACAGAAAAAGTTTGAGAACCACTGATTTAACCCATCCTACTAGGAGCAGTGGGCAGCTATTGTACAGCGCCTGGGGAGAAATGGGAGTGGGGGGGTACGGGAGGGCAGGAGGTGAACTGGGACCTCTCCAAGAAGCAGTCCACACTCCACATTTAGGTCTGGTCGAGGAATTGAACCGGCGACCCTACAGCTCCCAGTCTAAGCCCCTACTGACTAAGCCACTGCCAGTTTCTGCTCGTTGACAGCCTTCTCTTTGCAGATGTCACTGCTTGCATGCGGACGGACGCTCCAAAGGGGCGTGACCAGCAGAAGCTCCAAAGGGGCGTGACCAACAGCAGCTCCAAAGGGGCGTGGCCAGAATCTGCCCTTTAGTAACAGGGCTGAAAAAGAGGAGTATGAGGCATGTTACAATGGATGATCTGTTTGGGATTTTGAGCAAAACATTTCCGAGACAATATATTGTTCAAATATAGCATAATAGCTGAGCTTTAAGAACTCAAACACCATTTAATAAAATATGTAATAGCTTTTAGGAAAGACTGCAATAAATACACTTTTCAATGGACACATTCAAAGGATATAGCTGGCGGAAAAAATAAATAAACAATAGAATGGATATTTGAATATCCAAACAAATAAACATGGCAAATGAGACTGACCAAGGCACACG